AACTCTCCATGGCCAACTCTCTATGGCCAGCACACCATGGCCAACTCTCCATGACCAACTCTCCATGGCCAACTCTCCATGGCCAGCACACCATGGCCAACTCTCCATGACCAACTCTCCATGGCCAGCACACCATGGCCAACTCTCCATGGCTAACTCACTATGGCCAACTCTTGATCGGGAGTTCTGTTACCGGCTACAGAGGCCTTCAGGAAAGCCTTGCCGGCCGGCAACTATCCAAAAGTAAATACTAGGGCATCTCCATCCCCACCATCCCCACCCTAGCTTACCTTTTTACCCCTGCCCCCTGGAGTGGGCAGGGGGTTAATTAGGCCTTATTTGGGGGGGGAGGGTTAGAGCTTATATTGGGCGCACATGTAAAAAAGCCAAGCTAGGGCTTACTTTCAGGGTAGGTCCTATTTTCAGGGAAACATGGTTAATTGGCTGTGATAAGTTAGCTACGGTGAGATGTCCCTTTGTGGTCGCCAAATCCTTCTCCTCTTCTCCCAGAACAACCTGTGTGTGCCAGCAGAGGCGTGCCCATGCACCGTAGAGGGACAGATCTATGCACCCGGCGAAATGGTGGCCAAAGGTTGCGAGAACTGGTCAGTCTCCCGTCTCCTGTACAGTCCCACCGTCTCCTTACGTCGTCGCTTCCACGTAATTCGGATCTTTTTTTTGTCCCCTCCCTTTTCGCAGCTCCTGCATCGGTGGGCAGGTGGCCAATTGCAGCCGCGCGGCCTGTGGTGATGGTAAGCGAGGTTCTTCCGCTTCTGATGCTGTCCTCGTCCTATGACGGTTTGTTTAAGGCCCGTTCGCCATTTCAGAAACAAAATGACTAATGTCATAGTTTCACGCTTACGACCACCACCACATCCCCGCAGTCATGGGGGGAAGTTGGGCGACCGAATCACATTTACGTCACCTAAGCAGGATCTTTGCTTAACGACTGTCTCGTGACGCTTCCCAACAGCAGGGATTCACTGAACAACAGCAGTGAGGAACACCATAAAATGGAGCAAAGACAAATGTCTCACTTAATGACATCAATGTTGTCATTAATGGTGTTCAATGGTGGTTGTAAGTTGAGAATGGCCTACATTCACTCAGGACAGGGAGGTAGAAAGGTTTTTGGGGAATACTTCCTTTTAATGCCATTGGTAGGCTATCAAATGGGGCACAATTCACTTTACAGTGGTCTCGCTTAGTGACAGAAATGCTGTGGGCATAAGTCAAGGACTCCCTGCATTCAGAAAAGTTAAGCCGGATTCATGTCTGGCTAAGTTCATCAGTGCAGGGATTCACTTAACAGTGGGGGTCAGATAGGTTGTAAAACGGGGAGGGGAGTCACTTTGCCACTGTCTCACTTAGCAACGGAAATGTTGGGGCTCCATTTTGATCATAAGTTGAGGACTGGCTGTCCTGGGATCAGATTTCTCTCCGGCAGATTCTGGATGGTTTGCAAAAAAGCAGGAAGTGTTGGTCCATTCATCCAAAGAGGCTCAGATTCCAAAAAAAAAAAGCTGGAAGGGGTCTTGGAGGCCATCTAGTCCAGCCCCCTTCTCGAGCAGGAGACCCCCGACAGAATATCGCCCAGTTGGAAGGGACCTCGGAGGTCTTCTAGTCTGACCCTCCCTACTCGATGAGGAACCTCATACAGAATTACGCCCCCCCCCCCCCCAAACAAGGAGCCCTTGAGGAATCATAGAAGGACAGAGTTGGAAGGGACCTTGGAGGTCACCTAGTCCAGCCCCCTGCTCGAGCAGGGTTTCAAGGGTTTCTTGTTTGAGCAGGGGGCTGGACTAAATGCCCTCCCCTCAAGGCCCCTTCCAACTCTCATCGTGTAAGGCTATCCTGCTTGAGTCAGGGGGCTGGACTAGATGACCTCCAAGGCCCCTTCCCACTCCATCCTTCCATTATTATTCTGAATTTGGGTTCCTTGGTACCTGCCTGAGCTGGGTAGTCTACTTTATCAAGGGAGGGGGGGTTGATACTCTGGGGAGGAGGGGGCAAAGACCCCTTCCCCTTGCCCCGAGTTCCGATTTCCATGATGGGCATCTCCTGATGGTCTCCTTTCCTTCTTCCTCGCCAGTGAACGGTCTGTGGTCTGAGTGGACCCCCTGGAGCAAATGCTCAGCCTCCTGTGGGCTGGGACTGCAAAACCGATACCACTTCTGCACCGATCCGGCCCCTTCCGGCATTGGATTGCCCTGCCTGGGGCCGGAACGCGAGGACCGAGCCTGCCAGCTCCAGACGTGTTCCCGTAAGTCACACCCGGTTGTTGTTTCCCCCCCTCCCTAGGCTCCGGAGCAGTGGTGGTCTTCAGCCCGGTTCGGCCCAGTTTGGCCCTTTCAGCCCGGTTCAGTCCAGATCCACCCAGTTCTGCCCGTTCAGCCTGGTTCAGGCAGATTTGGCCCAGTTCAGCCCAGTTTGGCCTGGATTGACCCAGTTGGCCCAGTTCAGCCCCGTTCAGCCCGGTTCAGTCCGTTCAACCTGATTTGGTCCTGTTCAGCCTGGTTTGGTCTGATTTGGTCTGGTTTGGCCCTGTTCGGCCCTGTTTGGCCCAGCTTGGCCTGGTTTAGCCCAGTTCAGCCCAGATCGGCCTGGATCAGCCCAATTCGGCCTGGTTTGTCATGGTTCGGTCCTGTTCATCCCTGTTTGGCCCCATTTGGCCCGGTTTGGCCCAGTTTGGCCTGGTTTGGCTCGGTTCAGCCTAGTACTGCCCAGTACAGCTCGGTTCAGCTGGTTTGGCCTGATTTGGCTCAGTTCAGCCTGGTTCCATCTGGTTTGGCCCTGTTCAGCCCTGTTTTGCCCGGTTCAGCCTGGTGTGGCCCAGTTTGGCCCAGTTTGGCCCAGTCTGGCCCCATTCAGCCTGGTGTGTCCCGGTTCGGCTCAGTTCAGCCCCGATCAGCGAACCGGATGTGAAATTAACAGCCGGTTCACCCGAACTGGTGCGAATTGTTAGCCTCCCGCTCATCCTGGTCCCTTGTCTGAAATGGCATAGGGCCTCCTACTCAAGGCGGGGGTTGGACTAGATGACCTCCAAGGTCAACTTACCAGAGATTTGCTGAATATTGCCAAAAATAACAATCACCGAATTGGAAGGGACCTTAGAGGTCATCTAGTCCAACCCCCTTGCTCAAGCAGGAGACTCTTACAGAAGGAAGGAGTTGGAGGGGACCTCAGAGGTCATCTAGTCCAACCCACTGGTCAATGGGGGGCAGTTCTGTAACCCACCCCTCTTCTGTGCAGGGCCCGGGGATTGGGGGTTTTGGAGTCCCTGGACGTCCTGCACCGTCAGCTGCGGCGGGGGCCTGCGGAGCCGGAGCAGAGCCTGTGACAGCCCCGCCCCCCGAGGAGGCGGAGACTACTGTGAGGGACCGCCCACTCAGGTGGAGTCCTGTGGCTTGAACCCTTGTCCAGGTGAGTTGTGGGAAATCACTTGGGATGCAGCCCGTCCTTGGTTTTACAACAAACGCTGCATTTAGTGTCCGGCCGAAGGTCCTACAAAACTGTGACGTAGGGCCGTTTCTCACAGTTATGACCGCCGTGGACTCACCTTTATGACCCTCGTGGGGTCCTCCAAGCTGAGAGAGCTTCTCCCCTGGACTTCATCAAATTCGATTCACTTAACGACCGTGCAGGGATTCAAGGAAATGATGGGGCAAAAAAAGAAGAGAAAAATCCCTGCGGTTACCTCACGCAAATGGTTGTTCAATGAATCCGGCTTCCCCAGTCACAAAGTGAATTGGGCTTGCCTAGTTGTTCAGTGAGCTGTGTCCCCTTTCTTGCCTTGGTCATTAAGTGAGGCACTCTGGTTGTGAGGCCTGGAACATGGTCACCAGGTGTTTAGCACATTTGGTTCCCATTTCATTACCTTTCTCGCCACTGTCGTTAAGTGAATTGCCCCTGGTTGTGAAGCCGACCTGATGGTCATTAAGCAAATCATGCTTGCCCCGTTGACTTGGTCCCAAAACAGGGATTGCGGGACTGACCCCCCCCCCCCGGGGTACCCCTAGACAAACCCGTTGCCAAGCATTCGAATTCGGATTCTGGGTCCCACGGGAACACCGCCACGCTTGTAAGTGTGAAAAAAATGGTCACCAACTAATGGTCATAAGTCGAGGACAACTGGAAAGGAACAAGGGGAGGGTCTTTCTGGTGATTGTAGGGCGGGGGGCTGAGAATTGGTGGTCCCCATTGCCCCATCGCTGAGGATTTATCCGAATCAAAGTCTCTCCAATACAGCAGGAAAGCCCCTCCCCCTTGGACCGGGGGGGGGGGGGGGCGGGGTGAACTTATTCCGGGGGGTGGGGGGTTTGTCTTTCTCATTGGCTCTTTTGCCCCTTTTTATACCCCCCTCTTCACCAGATTTGAACTGTTCCATTTTGGAAGACTCGGTTTATAGTCGCTGCGGACCGCCCTGTCCTCGTTCTTGTGATGACATCACGGTAAGCTCATCTCTCTCAGTCCTCCCTCCCAAGACCCCCACCCACCTCTTCTCTGGCCAAGAGGGTCTCGGGTGCAATGAATACATGATGGGCTGCGGGGTTGACGGTGGGGTAAGACGCCACCGCACCCCAAATGCCAGCCGTCTTCGGTGCTTCTGTTTGGAAGGTCCACAACCTGTGGGGCGCAGTTCACTACCAGGCCACCGGGCCCTGTGAGCGCCTGGCTGGGGCGCATGTGCACACCTGCCCCCCCCCCACTCATGCTAGCGCTGCAGCCTTACGCCGTCGCTAAGAGTGCAGCAAGCATTGTATGGGCGCTTGTGTTACCGCAAGTGCACACTCCCCCATTCGCGCTAGCATTGCGGCTTCGTGTGGGCAGTATCGTGCGAAGAACTCGCACTAGAATCGCGGCTTCGCATGGGCAGTACCACATCCCCCACTTGCACCAGCAACATGGCTTCATGTGGGCGCTAATCGTCTCGCTCTCCTGCTACTGTGTTTCCCTGAAAATAAGACCCGGTCTTGTATTTTGTGGGGTTCCGAAATAAGCTCTAGGGCTTACTTTTGGGGAAACACAGTTTCAGGGCGATCCCCCCCAGCTGGCAGCCACCCCTGAGGTGCACCGGAACCAACTGTATCCGGCAGGAGCTGCAGCCCCACCAGCCCTTTGCTCAGCGTACTCGGCGGGCTCCGCAGCTCACACAATGCAGATGAGCTGATTCCTGATCCAAGCAGCAGGGGGAGGCAGAGGCCACGCGGGGGGGGGGGGGGGGGAAGCAGGGAATCTGGACGCTGTGCAGGCCGCGGGAAAGCCTAGAGTGGGCGGTTCCTTTTTCCTCCTCCCCTTCCTCTTCCTCCTCCTCCTCCTTCTCCCTTTTCCTCCTCTTCCTCCTCCTCTTCCTTCTGCTCCTCCTGCCCCTTCTGCTCCTGCCCCTCCTCTTCTTCTTCTTCCTCCTCTTCCTCCTCCTCTTCCCTCCTGCTCCTTCTCCTCCTTCTCCTGCTTCTCCTTCTCCTCTTCCTCATCCCTCCTCTTTCTCCTTCCTCGTCCTCGTCCTCCTGGAGTGGTGCACTGTTAAAAAACAGGTTATTTTGGGGGTAGGGCTTATTTTCAAGGAAACATGGTAGCTTCACGGCATTACCCAGCGCTGTCGTCGCCATGAGCGCATCTCCCACTTGTGTTAGTGTTGCGGTATGGCACGGATGCTCTCCGCCTTTTTTTCTTCTTCTTCTTCTTCTTCTTCTTCTTCTTCTTCTTCT